GGAAAATTGCATATAGTAGCATATAAGTCACTGGTGACTCCCAGACCTATAAAGTACTAGATATAGAAGCCATGTGGAGTTGGGCTGAGGAGTGAACAAGGAAAGAGGACTAAACTGTGACATATGTTTTGAGAGATTTAATTATGAGTGGGTGGGGACTAGGAGGAGGGTTATGGAGTCCAAGGAGAGCTTTTTTGATTTTGTAAACGGGAGTCTTGATCATGTTTATAAACTGATAGGGAAAAATCAGATAAAGGGAAAATTGGTGGTATGAGGAGATAAGAGGGTGGGTTCCTGAACAGTCAGGAAGGGGGCAGAATCTGAAAGCAGTTGAGCAGTAATGTAGGTAGGTGAATGAGTATAATTGTATTTAGCATTTCTTCCCCATCCGTAATGTAGGTGTCAGTGCCATCTTCTGAAAGGGAAGCGGGCTTTATATGTGAGTCCAGGTTGCCATTTAACTCGGAAGTGTAATAAATAGTTTTCTAATTATATCCTTACCTCTCTCCTCCCTATCTTATAAACAGCTTTATTGAAATATAATTCACATACCATAGTTTACCCATTTAAAGTTTATGATTCAGTGTCTTACCTATTAATTGTCAGATTTTTTTCCTGTCAGAAAGAATCATGTGAAGAATAGAAATTAATGAAATTATTTTGAAAAAGCAGCATATGTGAGTAGATTATAAGAGAACATGTTACCAAATGATTTCCTCTTGACTCAGAAAATTCTATTTTAAGTTATTAAAAATATGCATATGGGGGCTGGGGATGTGGCTCAAGCGGTAGCACGCTCGCCTGGCACGCATGCGGCCCGGGTTCGATCCTCAGCACCACATACAAACAAAGATGTTGTGTCCGCCGAAAACTAAAAAAAATAAATAAATATTAAAATTCTCTCTAAAAAAAAAAATATGCATATGGGATGATGAACTTCTGTCAGAAATCTCTAAGGTGTTATAGAGAATATAGTAATCTCGGAGGTGTATAGAGAATATAGTAACAGTGGACTCTGCTTAAAATCAATACTGAATAAGATTTCATAATGTGATTACTGAAGGATGATTTATAAGCATTTAGAAAAGAAAATTGCAGAAATCAGTATAGCCTTAGTGAAAAGGTCAACCAATGAACTTGATTTCAGTTTGTTACAGTCAGGAAGCATAGAAGAAATAGCATGTTTTCTTTTTATCAAAATATTTAACAAAAAGCTTTTTTAAAAAAAAAATTGCAGGTGAACAGCAACATATCTTTGTTTTATTTATTTTTATGTGGTGCTAAGGATTGAACCCAGTGAGACAAGTGCTCTGACACTAAGCTACAGCCCCAGCCCTAACAATACTTTAGATATAATCAGAGATACGATAAATTATGGTATAATGGTGTATTAAGAATTGTAATACAAAAAAATAAATAAATTTTTAAAAGCTTTTTGAATATGATTTGGAAATAGGTACATATAGAGTGGCTGAGCAATCAAACCCAAAAATTATTAGAACATTACTGAAGAAAGCATGATGAGCCAGAAACAACATGGTGGGCTCCACTTGAGATTTTTCAGATGATAGAAAGGTGAGATGTCTTTCAGAATACAGAAATCCCCACAGTCTTGAGTGATTGGCTGATACTGGGATTAAATAGTGAGAAGATTTAAATCATTCATTGTGGGATCATTTGCTTCAGTTTAAGAACAACATTTGCAAAGGTCTGGCTTAAGCAGCAGTGCCTGTGAAAGCCAGAGAGGTTAGTTCACTCAGAGTTCTCTGATATAATTGCCAAAATTCTTAAAGATACTGGGCTGTGTTACCATTTGTGATGGGGAATTGGTGATCTGATGTCTTCTGTATCCTTCCATTTGAGCTAGAATTAGAATACTAGTTCTCCCTTTCTTAGAAGATGAGAGAAGGTTTTCTGGAGAAGATGACTATTTAGGAAAGACAGGCAGGCTCCCTTCAAATAGGAGCCTTTGTGTGGAAGAGAAATTAGAATACTGCCAGATTTGCAGGACAGACTCAGAGCCAGCAGACAGTGTGGTGAGACAATGTTTGTCTCCTTATAAAATTGTCTGAAAGCTATCTAATTCTGAGATCTGCCAATGCTGCATTACTGGACACTGGAAATATTCAAGGTGAAGCAACATAATCATTTGGTGAGAAGACCAGGACGTTGTAAAGGGAGTATCATGGGACTAGATGATTCTTTATGGACTGTTACATGCTGATGTTCTGTGAATTTAAGTTACTTCTCTTAAGGTATATTTCTGGTCATAAATGATTCATTTTGTTTATTGTTTGTTTGTTTGTTTGTTTGTACTGAGGATTGAACCCAGGGGCACTTTACCACGATCCACATCCCCAGCCCTTTTGTTTTTATTTTGAGGCTGAGGCTGGTCTTTAATTTACGCAATCCTCCTGCCTCAGCCTTCAGAGCTGCTGGGATTATAGGCATGCACCAGTTTGCCTGGCTAAATGCTTCATTTTAAATAGATTTTTACAGCCATTGTGTATTTCATTTATCTTATTTTACCCAAATCTCCTTTGTTGGTTTATTACCTATAACTTTTTTCAAGTGTTTTGTGTGGGGGGGTTTTAATAAGCTTTAGGGCTTATAACATACACTGCTAATTTATCGCAGTCTAGTCACAGAAACTGTTACACTGATTTAGTTATTATAAGACCCTTACAACACTATACTTTCATTCCTCCCTTTTAGCTATTATCACCATACATTCTTTTTTCTGCATGTGTCATAATCCCAGAATACATTGTTATTTTTTGCTTTAAACAGCCAATTCTCTTTTGGAGACCTTGTTTTAAATAATATCTTGTTTTAAATAAAATCTTTTGCATTTGCTCACATTACCAGTGTTCTTCCTTCTTTTGTGTATACCTAATACAAGTCTACTACTAATGAAGTCTTTCAGCTTCTATATGTCTCAAAAGCTCTTATTTCATAGCCTTTGTTTTTGAAAGATATTTTTAATGAGTGTGAGATTCTAGGGTGGCATTTTGGTTGCATATATTTTTCAGCATTTGTTACAGTGTTCCTCCCCTATGTTTTGATTTTCATCATTTCTGTCAAGAAGTCTGTTATTCTTTGGTTCTTTATCCACAGTGTGTTTTGTTGTTGTTGTTGTTGTTGTTTTTGTTTTGCCTCTGAGACTTTTTTTTTTAATCACTGAATTAAAGCAATTTGATTGTTCTATTCCTCATTATAATATTCTTCTTGTTTCTTGCACTTGGGATTTTTCAGTATTTTAAGAGTATTATAGTTCTTATCAAATTCAGAAATTTTTATCTGCATTTTCCCACATATTTTGTCTGTCCTTCCCACTGCTTTGAGGACTGCAGCTACATATATATATATTTAATTGCTTAAAGTCATCCCATAGCTCACAGATTTTGATATCTCCCCCAGCCCTGTATTTCATTTTGGAGAGTTTTCACTGCTGTTTTTAACTTTTCTTCTGTAGTGTCTAATCTGCTTTAATCCCACCCATTGTAATTTTTATCTCGGACATTGTAGTTTCCATTCCTTGAGTGTTTTTATGTCTTCTATTCCTCTATTTAATGTACTCAATTTTTCTTAAACATATTGAATATAGTTGTAATAACTGCTTTAACATTCTTTTTTATTCTGCCATCTGTGTCATTTCCAGGGTTGTTTCTTTTAGTTGGACTCCTCATTGATTATGTTTTTCCAGTTATAATCCTCTCTAGGCTTGTTGTTAACTTTGCCAAGTGGGACCAGAGCAGAGGTTAGGGCTAATTTTGTGCAAATACTGAGGCAAAATCATCTTGAGCATTCTTCTTGATACCCGGTAACTATGAGGTTTTCTGTTCAGGCCAATGGGATCAAGAACTCTTTTCAACCTCAAGTGAGCTCTGTGGTTCTGTTCCCTGGCCATGGTGACTTACCTTATCAGCTCAGCTAAAGATGCCAGTAGGTTTCAGCAGACCTCTAATGCACTCTTTTCTGTGCCTGCTCTCCTTCCTGGTATTCTTCCCTGCAAACTCTAGTCTCCTTGGCCTCCTTCCCAGCTGGCCTCCTCAACTCACGGAGATGGCTTCCCATCCCTGTGCTATGGCCTGGCAGTAAGCTAGCGTAATTGTAAGGTGCTCTTTGCTTGTTTCCCTTCTCCAGGGATCACTGTCCCATGCTGCCTGAAGTCCAGTATTTAAAAAGCATTGTTTCAAGCCTGGTGCTCTGGAGGGTGAAACAGGAGGGTTGCGAGTTCAGAGTCAACCTCAGCAAAAGCCAGGTGCTAAGCAGCTCAGTGAGACTTTGTCTCCAAATAAAAATACAAAATAGGGCTGGGATGTGGCTCAGTGGTTGAGTGCCCCTGAATTCAGTCCCCAGGACACCACCCCCCCAATAAATAAATAAATGGCACTGTTTCATATGTCTTATTTGCTAGTCTTCATTGTGGGGGTGGACAAATCTGACCCTGTCCATGGCCAGAAGTAGAAGCTCATAAGTGACTTTTTATTTTCCTCTAACACTTTACCTTTGCGTTTAGTCTTTTTCAGCTTCATTTTTTGTCCTTTAGTTTCCTCACATCTTTCTTCTCACAGGCCCTGTAGTTTTCTCTCTCCCTCATCCCTGTCTCATGCTGCTTCTATTCCCTAACACTCATTTTTAAGAGTTTTCTCAAACTCAGGGTCAGTTCAGGTGCCTCTTCTGATATTTCTTCAACTTGAGGAGAAACTAAACCTTTTCTTTTCTCTTTGTTCTGTTTCTACCATATATGAACTGGATTTTCATTGTTCAAGTATATATGTATTGACACATGCTGACCTTCCTGAGGAATGTGCATTTTGGTACCTGGATAACACCTGTACATAGTGTTCACCTCAGCTCCTAAGGGCAGAGATGGAGCTCACACTTAGGTCTGAGTGTCTTTGATACAGAGAGGAGGCATTTAACAAACAGCTGTGTTGCATTTTGGTAAAATGAATTGTTTTTCTCCTCTTCTTCAACTTCTCCCCCAAAATTAGGCCACAGAAGAAGTTTCCAAAAATCTGGTTGCCATGAAAGAAATTCTGTATGGCACAAATGAAAAAGAGCCTCAGACAGAAGCAGTGGCTCAACTTGCTCAAGAACTATATAATAGCGGGCTCCTTAGCACCCTGGTGGCTGATCTGCAGCTCATTGACTTTGAGGTAAGAAATCAGTTTCTTTTATTTTCAAAAGCAGTTCTTTTCCATATGTTCTCTACTTTGGAACATCTTAAGATCCCCACTGGGCTCTTGGCACAGGGGTTCCTGGCCTCTGTAAGCAAGCCCAGGCTGCCTGCCTCATTAGAAGAGCAAGGGCAGGAACCCAAGGGCATCTCAGGCCCAGACCAGGGTTTGCCCCTCTTTTCTACCACATTTTATATAGAGTTTCTTAGGTATTCCTTATTTTCTTTCATTCAGGTTGTTTTTTCACAAAGCTACTCTTCAGAGCACCGTAGTGGATTATATAATCCACTCATCTTGGGCTCCCAATAAAAACAATCTAAAGAAAACCATAGAATGTTAGAATTTTAGAAGTAGATAGATTCTAAAGAACATCAATTGCCACAGAGATCATATTATGTGTTTTGTTTGCTTGACACTGCTTTTACATTTTTAGATTATTATGTTTAAATAGCAGATTTTATTCACAATTCTGAATTTCTGGCTTCTACTGGAAATTTGATTCTGGCAGTTTGGGGCCAGTAGTCCTGCTTGGCCCTTCAGCTGGAGCAGAGTAGCAACCCAGGGTATCCAAGTGTGGATTTACTTTGGATAGCACAACTTACTTTTCCATCTTAGGGCCTGCTTTACCTGTGCACATCACCTGCCTGGCCTTTGTAGGCACTTGAGATTATCACCAAAGCTTATGCAGCTGGATCATTTTGTGTTAAATATTTAATGAACTTAGCAGTGAGAATAATAGTCCTTGATACAGCCTGAAAGAACTATCTGAGAAACATATATGATAATGAATCTCTCTGTCATGGTCGCAGGCAGTTTCTTTTTTGACTCTATCATGAATGTGCTTTGTTTTCAGCCCCAGTGTCTATCAGCCTAAGTGATGACATGTCTCTGCAGGTACTTAAAAGATAGCTACATGTTACAAGGGGAAATGACCCAGATTAAATTTTGGAAAAAGGTGATGAGAGGGTGTAGTTCAGAGGTCACTTGAATAAAGGAAAATGAAAATTTATTTTTATCCTGTAGAACAGATAGAACTAAGACATTTTCATTTATATAGCTAATCTCATGTGCTTTTAATAGTGTATTGAATTCCAACAACAATTTTTAATTCCTCTACAAAGTTAGAGATATACTAGAACATATAGTTCTTCTCCTTTGCCTGCCTGCACTTATCTTATTCCCCAACCTGGGCATGAAATTGAATATTCATTTGGGATTTTAGAGACATTTATTTAAAAGAGGTGTGTGCCCTTGGGACCGGTTCACAGAGACTGCCATTACTGCATCTGAGCTAGTGTAGGCCCCAGGGTGATCTCTGTGTGTGCTTTAGGTAAGGAGCGGAAAAGCTAGCATTTCACTCTCCTGTTGCTTTGTTAGCCTTGTGACAAGTAGCTATTCAAAAGCATTTCTTGGGATCAGCTTTTCTATTTGTTAATTTCTGTGCAACTTTCTGATTGTAAAGTTCTCTGGGTAATAGTAAAGTCCTTCTATTTTGTACAGTGGTAAAATAAAGTTCTGGTCTCTGAACTACTGCATTATGTGATGCTTAATGCCTTCATTATTAATCTTTGTGAAATTTTATCAAAACAGAACTAGTTTAATAGGGGGATATGCCTACTTGCTACTAAAGCTGAACTTCTTACAAAATTCTTTGAATTTACTATGCTGGCAGAGTATAATTTTCCCTCCTTCCACCACTATTTAAAAAAAAAAAAAGTATGTGTTGTTCACATACCAATATCCTGTTTGAAGCTGCTTGTTCCACTTGGGTGGGATTCAGATCCCTGTAGATTGTAAGCATACAGCAACATTTTGTTTTCTATATCTGAGTCAGCATGATTCTGAGAGTTAGAAATGGTTGAAATTACACGTGGAAGGTAGTGAGATTTCACTTTGTCAACACATTGTTCATGTTAAAAATAGAACACTATTAAAACTTAGAAATTGGAGTTATAAATAAAAAGATAAAAGACAATGTAATGCCTATGAATGTTTTAAAGTCAGATATTTGGTCATAACTATAAATATACAGTGGTTTTCTTTTAGTTTATTTGGGAGGGTATATGGGCATTTGATGTTTATAATTGTATTCCTAATAGGGCAAAAAAGACGTGGCTCAAATTTTCAACAATATTCTCAGAAGACAAATTGGTACAAGAACTCCTACTGTTGAATACATCTGCACCCAACAGAATATTTTGTTCATGTTATTGAAAGGGTATGTACAATGCAATAAAATTTATATTCTTAGTTGAAAATAAAAAGGAAAGATTGCCTTGGGAGAAAAAAAGAAAACCAGGATGGTGAATATGGGGAACATTTTCTCTTTACTCAGCTTTTTGTCCCGTATATCTTGGACACATTTCCCTCCTTAAAATTCAACCTGTGAGCTAAATTGAATGTAAAAATACCCTGTAGATGGAGTTTAAAATTAGGCAAATTGTGAGCCTTTAAATTCACAAATTAAAGGTGACTAAAGGAAAGACATCCTTTGTTGTCTTATATCTGTTTTCTAAAATTTAAAAAGTTGAGTTGCATTGAAATACAAGCTAAGTCATGCATTTACAGATGTCTCGTTTGTACCTGGTCTGCACACTGGAAGGCCAGGAACACCACCTCGGGTGGAGCACAGAGCCACACAGATGCACTGTTTGGTTATCAGCATTCTTGTCATTGTGATTTGGTGCCCCTTGAGTTTCACCTCAGTGTTCACTCACTAATCCACTTAATTTGGTAATGCACAGTGCATCTTCTGGAATCACTACTGGACCAAACAGGCATTTATGATTGGGAAGTTTTTCACTTTAAAAAGCAAAGCAAAAAACCCTAAAAAAAGGAAAAAGAAATCTTCTCCCCCAGCACTGAGCCTCCCTGACTGGCAAGGTAACCTATCGCTCAGCACCAGAGCTATTTAACAGCCCTGGGCATGCTATGCCACTTTGTGTCCCAGCACTGGCAGTGTTCTGTTAAACTGGAGGGCAAGCACGTTGCTGGCCTGTCTGGTGGTGTGAATCAGCTTGCTCTCCTGCCCCTGGCTTTGCAGCTTGCCTCATTCTGATTCATATCTCTGTGGTTTAACACTTCCCTCAAGTTCAAGCTTGTTTAGATGAAGCGTGAGTCAGTGCCTGTGTTGCACGGCCAGCATTCTGTTTCCTCCTTTCTATTTCTAACCATCTCTGTTGCTTCTTCAAATGTTGTCATACAGAACTTTTGGCGTCTAGTTTCTTGTTGTATTACCCCATGGTTGCCGTGTGAACACGTAGAAAGTAGCCTGGAATTTTGGTGCTCTTAGAGCAGCTTCCTGTTGGCTCTGTATATTTTTAAAGCCAGTATTTCCTTTTCCATAGAAACTAGTGGTTATTAAGATCTGTAAACTAATTATCTCTGCCTATGATTTCACTTTACAGTAGCCAGGGATAATGATATAACCATTGTTAGATATTGTATACAGTAAGACTTTGGAGATACAATTTAAAGTCTAACGTTCTTCACTGGGCTGACCTAAGCAGAATCCGCAGCCAGAGAGAAGCATAGAGAATGGGAGCAGAAGAGTGAGATAGCCTGCTCCCCAGCCCTCACCCTTGGTCATGGGCACTGTGCATACCACTGCAGGGAGAACACAGCAAAACCTCTCCCACCCACAGCCCTGCCTCAGCAGCCCCTTAATGTCCTGCCGTTCTTACTTGCTCTAGTCTTTGCCTCCTTTCCTTACACATGAGTTCTGTGCATCCCTTGTACATAATACACAACAAAATAAAGTGTACAGAAATAGTTTAATGTAGTCACAATATTATTTAAAAACCTAATTTCAAATTTTTTTGATTATTATAAAAAACGGCATATTACAGTTTCTTTTCAATTGAATTCTAAACAAGTCCACAAGCTAAATTTGACTGATATGACTGTTAATCTATAATAGTTAATGAATATCCTCTTTTTTCTTTTCTTTCTTCTTCTTTTTTAAATATACTCATGTCATTTGTTTGTTGGTGCAACTGTGTAATTTGTTTGTAGATAAATCACATATTTTGGATTTTATTTCTGTGGTTCTGTTCAACATGTTTCACTGTCCCCTGTTCCTTTAAAATTGGTGGTTAGATGTAGGGGTTTAGATTTAGGGTTAGTTTCAGATTCCCTTCGAGTGGGCGTATGTTCATGAGTGGTGCCATGTATGTTCTATTAGGTGGCTCTGGTTATTCCACTTCAGGTGATGTTTAGATTGACCTCTGGGTACAGTCTGTAATCTGTCCATTGTAAACTACTCCATTGGCCTTAAACCTGAAGGTTTTAATGTCCATTGAGAGTCCTTATCTAGATTAAAAATGGCCACTTCCTCTTTCATTATTTCTTCTCTATATAGCTATGCTTCTTCTAAAGGACAGCCTCTCCGGGGCTGGGGTTGTGGCTCAGTGGTAGAGCACTTGCCTGACATATGTGAGGCACTGGGTTTGATCCTCAGCACCCTATAAAAACAAAGAAAGAAGGTATTGTGTTCATCTACAACCAAAAAAAAAAAAAAAACAGCCTCTCCTAACCATAACTTAGTTATTACAAAATATTGTCTTTAAGGGAAAGGTTTGTGTCATTATTTTAGTATAATTAGCTGGTGTCTCTAGCCGATTTTTACGTGAGCATTGAGTTTATTGTTTAAACATTGTTATTAACTCAGTTTTTTGTTTTGTTTTTTAAAAATATTGGAATCATTATTTTTTTCCGGTCAAGTTGTCCCCTCTTCAGCCATTGGGAGCTTTTTCAGATTGGTTCCTATGTCCTTTTGGCAAGGCTCCCATTAGTCTGATAGCTTCCTTGCTTTCTGGCACAAAATGACCACCTTACTCATTTTGAATGGATCCTGCCACATCTGGAAACAACTGTTTAAGGAGGCCCTTGAATTGCCTTTTAAAGATTTTGGGGTTTGGTTAGACTACTTACATACAATGCGATTGTCTTCTTGGGCTGTAAGTACTTTGGTGTTGGCTATTTCAAGGTGTTATGCTGCTAATATTAGTGTGCACTTGAGGTCTTATTGCTTGTGTTGGACTGAATTTGGAGGCAATTATTTTTTTATAGGACATTTAAAAGTTATTTTACTCTCCAGCCTGGTGCTAACAGGTTGTATAGCATAACTGTTTGCCTTATACTCATTAGTTTATGATTTAATCAGGTAGACAAGCTTGACAGACTTCTTATCAAAACCCACCCAACTTATTTTACCAAACTGTCTTACCCTGTCCTTCTAGTCTCCTACTTATTGAAGATAAGCAGAGATGGGGTTGGGGGTCTAATTTAGTGTCAAAAGCACTTCCTAGCTTGTGTGATGTGAGGTCCTGGGTTTTGGTCCCCAGCACCACAAAAAAAAAAAAAAGGCAAAAATGAATTGTGCGATCAGCCATTTTTGTGAGAGGCAGGGTTGATAAAAGAAATAGGACTTAAGATTGGAATTCCAGATGGCTTAGAATTTGCATAGGCAGAAAAAATAGAGAGACAGCATCCTAATGGTATATTGCTGGGAACAAAGGTTCAGGGACAGAAGTGAATACCATGTGATTGGCAGCAATGAAGAATAAGCAATAAGCAGTAAAATCTGAGTGTTTTATGGCGGAATCAGAAGATGGCATTTTATCAGAGTAATAGATTGAGGGGAAGACTAGACATTAAGTCCAGAAATTTGTCTTTATTTGATTGACAAGAAATAATTTTAAGTTCCTATACTGGAAATGCTGTGGATTAGCTTGTGGGTTGGGTAGATTGTTTATGACGAGCTTGAACAATGCTGGTTGGGAGGCCTTTGCAGTTATTCTGGCAGCATGAGTTAATGCACTAGTGGGAAGAGATACGAGAAAATGAAACTAACATGCCTCAAAGAAATGTCGAAAAGGCCTGGCAATACTGAAGCTGGGAAGATTTGAAGTGAAGAAGGGAAGGTTTAAAACTGTGCTGTGCAGTACCATAGCTACCAATCACATGTAATGCTTAATTTTCAATTATTTTAAATAACATTTAAAATACAGTCCCTCAGTCACACTGACCTAATTTCAAATGTTTATTAGCCACATGTCCTAGCAGCTACCATTATGGACAAAACAGAGACCATTTCCAACATCACAGAAATTTTTGTTAGGCCTGATTTAGACCTGGCTATCAAAACAGAAACAATGTCAAATTACAGAAATGAGGCAGGATTGTTGTTGGGTTATTTGGTGGAGGAAGACAAGATGGTATTTTAGACATGTTGAGTTTATGGTAGATTTCTAACTGAAGTAACAGAAAATGCCTAACTTGAGGTTTGGGACTAGACTTGAGCAGGGGAAATTTAGTAGTGGTAAGAACCTTGAGATGGTATAGGTTTTGGGCCAAAGGCACAAAATAGGAACAGAGGATAGAAAGGTAGAACTGAGAGAATTTCTTCTTTTATCCTTCTTCTTTTTTTAATAGAGCAATGAAAATATTGGCACTGTCAAAACACTTAAGTAGAAGGATCTTTTGTTATAAGTAAGGATTGCTTGTTTTAGCCAAGAGGAAGCCTTTGCTGGCCAATTAGTTATTTCACAGGAGTGTTGGGAAATGGAATTTGACTGCAAGAAACTACAGGAGCATGTGAGTGGGAAAGAAATGAAGCCAATGCTTACAGCTTGAAAGGAAGTAAAAGAAAAGAGAACAACGTGTCTGAGCAGGTGGCCGAGTCCAGGCAGAGGGCTTGGTGCACATGGGAAGAAAAGGCCCCTGCTTGGCTGAGAGGTTTTTCTTTCTATGTCAGAGATGGAAAAGGTGAGAGACCTGAACTGAGATAAAGGGAGTCTGTGTGTGCAGAGTTGGTGAGGCGGCACCAGTTTGAGCGTCCACTGCTGGTGTCCCTAGCTCTCCATGCAATCCTTAGGACTAAACTCTCAACTTCTCAGTGTTTCCATGTAGCCCAGAGACTTTACTGTTTTGAGTGTTAAAACCTCAAAGTATAAATGCTGTATATTTGATAGACCTTATTAGATACTATGAATTTCTGAATTTGGAAAAATGTTTTGTATTGTTTTTGATCCAACCATTGGTGGTGCTTCAAGGTGTTAAAAGCACCACAGGTAAAAAGCTAAGCCCAAATGGAATGACTGGTGTGACCTTAATACTGACTTCCAGCTTGTTAAAACCTTGAACAGTGGACTTCCATTCACACAGTCATTCTTGTGGCTGATGCTTTTTGGCTGAAGGCAAGCCAGTGCAGGTGGGCTCTACAGGAAGCTCCCAAGCCCAGGCTTTCCTCAGAGAAATACCTTTTGTAACCAGTGGTCACTTGATTAGGACACATGTCTGAAACTTCCTGTTCTAAAAATTTGAAGTAGTCATTCTAAAAGTTTTGAGAGAGCAATCATGTTCGGCTTTTTATTTGTTTATTTTTACAGGTATGAATCTCCAGAAATAGCTCTGAATTGTGGAATAATGTTAAGAGAATGCATCAGACACGAGCCACTTGCAAAAATCATTTTGTGGTCGGAACAATTTTACGATTTCTTCAGATATGTTGAAATGTCAACATTTGACATAGCTTCAGATGCATTTGCCACATTCAAGGTAACAAAAACTAGAATTCTAAGTACACTTGCAATTCAGATCAAAAAGTGTGCTTTTTTTCCCCCCTAAATTTTCTCTGCCCTCCTAGTCTACACACTGCTGCCCTCTAGTGGGAAGAGAGAAGATGAATTTTATATGTGTTGGTATGATTTTAAGTATTTGTAATAAAAGTCACAGCTTACAAAAGGTGGAAAAGTTAGATTGTAAAGTCTGTAAAGAAGGCAGAAGTTCTATATGGTCAAAATTGTACTTTCTTGTTAAATTATCCATTAAATATGAAATACAAATATACAGTTGGCCTAACAACCAGGTCTTCTGTGTTGGGACATTCTATAGCAGTTTCTTTGGTTAAGCAACAGATGAAGTCATTGGCTTCTTTTCAGGGGCCATGTTGATTTGGAATGTACATGTCATTAAATACTAGAACCACATTCAGGACAGAGATAGCCACATTGTTGTCATACCTGTGTCCTCACACCAGAGCACATCTATTAAATGCAGGGAGAGGACAGACTCACTTGCACTATTCCAGCTATTGCTTCCTCCCTCCCCTCATCTACTTTATCTCCCTTGTTGTGGATTCGTATGAATTAAATACACACATGATACCACATGCAGATTTTTATTTGAGTTGCAAGGTTCTGTGCTATTTAATTTATATAAATAAAGCAGCAATCTTGTATTTTCCCCAGTGAAAGCTTTATATATTATAATTCCCTTCTATAAAATGTTTGATCTTATATGTAAATGTTTAGAACTATTTCATATACTTACACATAGACGACCATGCTCAGAAACCATGGACTCTATTACAGTAGAAATGTCCTCTTATCTTGTTAAGCTTCAGTTTTATGATTATAAAGAGCCCGTGACATAATGAGCACACACCTTGGGCTTTAGATAAAATTTGTATCTGACAGTGAATGAACACCCTTAGGATAGGACAGAGTCCAGGGGACTGGTCATTAGGGTTTCACTGAATGAGTATAAGGTCATGGTGTAAAAGGTGCTCGGGGTTTATTTCCCAAAACCTTTAAAGAGGATATCAGAAGCTTTAGGTAATACTTCAGATACTTAAATGTCAATGTACAAAGCAAAACAAATTGAGTTTGAGATTATAACATAGAGTGGTCACTATGATGTCTTAGGTGTCACCGCAGTGGTGGGATAGGACTCATGATTAGAATGCATCGACGGAAGGGAATGCCCCATTCAGGAGCAGCAACCCGGCCTGAAGGGAGGTGTGTAGTAGCACCTTGTGTCAAGGAGAGAGTCCCCTGTGTGGAAGGACAGCCAGGATCCCGAGAGTGGCAGCACTCTGGGCGCTTGAGGGTGAGGGAAGCGGATTGAGGAGCAGCAGTGGTGTGGGAGAATGCAGCCAGACCCCTGACCACGTGGAGGACATACTCCTGACACAGATGACCAGATTGGCTCAGAGGTGAGAGAGATGCGCTGGCTACATGCCAAAAATGTGATATCTGACAGTCCTGATGGGCCTTGCTGATGATTTCATTTCAGTTAGAGTTGCTTCTTTGAGTGAATTCTCTCCAAGGAGAAAATGGTGGTGATAGAATCACCATGGGTAATATAGTCCTGTCAGGTCTTGGTGGCCACAAAGGGAAAGACTGTACAGAGCCTGGCAAGTGGCCTTGAAGAAAGGGAACTTCTATAAACAACTTAGGGTTCCAGGGGTTAGCTCTAGAAGAGAGGGTTGAGAAGCTGGCCTGGCTTCTGTATCTCAGGTGCTCCCAGTTATACAAGAAAGAGAGCCCACTTGAGTCCTGATCAGATGCCTCTCCAAGAATAGCGCCACAGGGCCCCTAGCCGAGACAGAGTGTGAAAGACACAGACCTAACACTTAATCTCATGGGGCTAAATGGCAAACAGACCGAAGCTTCCTTACACACCTCCCTGAAAGAAACTGCGGTCAGGACAGAGAGAACAACCAGACCAACAGGGACAGTCTGGCATCTTCACACCACAGGTGCTGACAAGGAGGGCAGAAGAAGGACCCTGTCCCCTTTGCTGATGGCCCTTTGCAGGGCACAGTTTTCTAACAAAAAAAAAGAATGGATCTGTGTTCCATGTTCTCCTTTGAGAATGTACAACAGTTCCCCCACACACACACACACAAAATGTACCCCTACACACATCAATTTTTGAACAAATGCAGCTTGTCCAAAACCCTAGGGTTAGAGCCTATGGAACAGGTGCTAAGTCTTAAAAGGAAATAAAAATATCTCTTCTAAATACGTCCAAGAGTCATAGCTTGAATGAATGGATACTGAAATAGCCAGATGGTGAAATATTTGTTAGTGATTTTTGTTTTGTTTTTGAGGAATTAAGGAGATGGGGAGGAGAATTAGAAGGCCAACAAATATATTTCCAATTTTCCAGAATAAAAGAAGGTAGATTCCCCAGAGAGGCTGGTGGAGCTTGGAGCTTGATGTTTTACCTCTGTAAGGTTCTAGAAAGTATTTCTAAAGAGATGATTTCTGAGCATTTTGGAAAGGAAACCGTGTGCCCACAGCTACCATGGATTCGCTAAGAGTAAGTTCAGCCATACTAATCTCATAGATGCCAGCAGGTCAGGGGGGTTAAGGACGTGGCTGCCTGTTTCAAACCAGCTCTGCTGCTGATTTAACCTGCATCTCTCCATCTATTAAAATGTAGGTGATAATACAAGTATATAAGGGGTTTTGTACCTCTATGCGGTCTTTGCACTGTAAACGTCACTGTTAGATGATTCCTTCATTACAATGAGGATGTGCTAGATTCTGAAACATCTACACATCTCTTCTCATGGAAACAGTAAACAAAGATGAACTAGATGGAGTTTTATCATAGTGATTCACAACTAAACAAAGCCATATCCATACATTGTTGTCAACTGGATGCATTTTGTAGCCAATCTCCACTGGGCTTTATCCCACCTGGCCTAGCTGAACGTTTTTATCATTTATTAATGACCAAAGGGTGACAAGGCATACTTATCTAATGTGTAGGTCCTAGCCAAGAAGGGAAAAAGAGAGATTAACAGTAGATCCTAAAATTCAAGATCCAAAGGGGACAGAACAGAACAAACTAAATGCAGATATGAGATCTCCCACTTGAGTACCTCATTATACAAAGAATGGGATAGGGGAATAAGGTGTAAATAATAATAAATTGTTTAATAAATTAAATAATTACTAAGTATAATAATTACTATGATACAATTAATGATACTCAAAAGAACCTTATGAAGTAGATACTGTTATCATCACCTTCATATGTGATGAAAAGCCTAGACATATTGAATGAAGTCAGACAGTAAGTGGGAAAACCATATTTGAACCCAAGCCAACTGACCTGACTCAAAGCCCACTCTGAGTAAATAAAATTCTGAAGATTCCACTAAAATTAAGCGGTATGTTGAATACAGTCTCCAAAGCTCCATGTGATCACAAGTATGTAACCTAAGGAATCAGTGTTCTCCCTCAGTTATGAGCTCCTCAGGTGGTGACATGTAAATGTGCTCTGTTCCAGGTGCTCCACTTTAGGAGGCACTTAAACAATAGATAACTTCCAGAAGACAGTAGGTTGTGCTCAGAACCCATGATTGAAGGAGAGGTTAAAGGACTGGGCATATTTAACCTGAAGAAAAGAAGACTTGGTCAGACTTTGCCATGAGATACTACTTGTATTCAAAGTGGGAACCTCCGAAAAATGGATTGCAGCCATTCTGCTAGCCTTAGCAGTGTTTGGAAATAACTTGGAGATATATAGTTAAATCAAGAAGAGGTTTTTGACTCTAGCACAGAAAGAACTTATTAATTATAAGAGCCCAGAGATAAACCACATGAGTGAAAGAATTGAGTTCCTTGTCCCTGGACATAGTTGAGCATCGTATGGGAAATGGGGACAAAAGACTTGCTAAGATGCTGTGAAAAGAAGCCCCACCCCCCAGGTAGCAGTATTTTTTCAGGGATATCTGTCACCTGCTGTTTGGTGCCCAAATTCAAACTTTTAAGAAGGTTTCTAATTCAACCCATCCTAAAAATTGGCTGCTCAGTTTCCTGGACCTGGGACATGATCCCTGGCCTTTCTTCAAGTTATACCAGTGCTTTGGATGTACTGAAATTCAGATAGGTCATAAATCCTTCTTTCCCCCGCTCTGCTGGTATGGCATCACATGTAACTTACAAACTTGGTGAGTCGCTGACCACATGCCCTTTTTGCCCTTTTTCTTCTTCTTTCTCTTCCTCCTCCTCTTCTTCTTCCTCCTCCTCTTCTTCCTCTTCCTCCTCTCTCCCTCTCTCCCTTTCTCCACAGTTCTGAGGACTAACCCAGGGTGGCACACACTCTAAGCAAGTACTCTGCCACAGAGCTGCATCCCCAGTCCATTTATTTATTTATTTGAGACATGAATCTACTAAGTTGCCCAGGCTGGGCCTCAAACTTAGGAGCCTCTACCTCAACCTCCCATGTAGCTGAATTACACGTGTTTGCCACTGTGCTCAGCTTCATTTTCTTTTCTGTTGGTTTCTGTTCCTCCCTGACCCATTATTTGAGCTCTCCAGAGCTTTTAATGATAGTCGCTAAGTTAAGGTTTCTTCTTACCTCTCAGTAGATGGAGGTAACTCCCAAAGCCCTGTCTCCTTTCCTAGCCTCTAGTATTAGCCTTTTTCTCTGGTGCTGGCTTTATTGTTGTTGTTGTTTTAAATATTTTTTTAGTTGTAGATGGACACAATACCTTTATGTGTTTATTCATTTTTTTATGTGGTGCTAGGATCGAACCCAGGGCCTCACATATGCTAGGTAAATGCTCTACCACTGAGCCACAAGCCCAGCCCCTGGTGCTGGCTCTTAACAGTTGCTCCTTTTCTTCAAAAATTCTCATCCATTCCAGGCCCTTAGAATGTCCTCCTTGACAAAGGACTTTTATTCTATTATGCACAAGGGCCCAAACTTTAGCAATCTCACAACTTCTTTAATCCTTTCTACCCTGCAGCCATTGAGATCTGCTTCCCACATTGACCACAATATCCTGATTTCCCAGAGAAGAATAAATAGATGGGAGATGTTAGAAGTCCCTCTTTTTAGGTGTGGCTCAGTTGAGAGCCTCCTGCCCCTGCTTGAGTATATCCTTTAGAAGAAATAACTCACTCAAACCTTCAGTAAAATTGTAGTGCCCAACATGGTTACACCTAGAGATCTTTGCCTAGTAGAACATTGGTAGATGCTTTCCCCTACCCATCCCTAAGGCCTTAAACTCAGTTAAGAGCCAGCATCTCTTAAGTCCCCTCTCCCCTCACATTCTGTTGTATCAGATTGTGGCAGAATAGTGAACAATGGCTCTGTGGGCTGTACTTCCTCATATTGGCCTCTGGAGTGATTCAGCCACAAAACCTTAGAAGTGACAGTCTTGTAGACCCTAACACATCCCTTAATTCACCCTCAGTTCACCTATTCATTTGTTCCTTCCCCAAGCCCCTGATTGCCTGCCCTGTGCCAGCTTCAATGCTGGGGCTTGGCAGAAATCCATACACACAAATGCTGCCCTTGTGGCACCTACTCAAGGAGGCCAGCCATAAACAAAGCACAATGACAGGCTGAAGGGTGGTGAGTGCTCCTTAGCAGGCATGGACTTGGTGCTTTCTCTGTTGATATCCTCACATTCCTTCTCTTTGCCTCTGACCCTATGGGCCAGTGCACTGAGATGGTGGAGACTCTCCTACCACTTTCATCTTTGTTTCCATTAGGGGACACTTTGCAGCACTCTGCCAGGTCACAGTCCTCCACATGTAACCATGTTAAGCAGCAGATTTCTGCTGATGATTTCAGGAAAGTGGCTATTCCTCCTGAAGAGTACTAAAAATAAACTCCAGATTTCTTAATTTTGCCTCTGTAATTCTCAGAAAAAAAATTGGGCAACCCTGTTAAGATCAGGAAATAACAGTACTGATGACCTTGCCTAGAAGTTTGAACAACTAAGTCTTTGGGATGGGGTTAAAAGCCTTCTGAAAAGCACACTTTTGAAGATTGTTTAATGTGATGTTTTTCTAAACATGTTTCCTGGTTTTCTTGGTTCATTTATTGATTTACTAAATATTAAGCTCTTCCTAGTATGGAGCACTACATAAGTACTGGTGACTCAAAGGTTAGTAAAAACAGACATGACCCTTTGTCTATGTTTGTGTACAGGAGAGACTGTTTTCAAATAATCCCATAAGCAGATATAAAGTTACAGTTGTGACCAGTGAGGAATGGTTTCTGAAGAAGGGATGCCCAGTTAAGAGCTGAGGCTGGGTGATAGGTAACTAGGCACACGGAAGGCCTGTATGAAGGAAGACCTTTGGGGAAGGATGGTAACAGGAGTAGGTGACAAAAGAGCTTCCTGCAGAATCCCTGAGAGCTGACATCTCTACAAGAAAAGTCAAGCTGTGGCTCTTCCCACATGCTTGACCATAGAACACTGCTTAGAGCATTTCTCAGGACCAAGTACCACATCAGCAAGTTTTAGGAAATGCTAGCCCTGGGCAGCCTTCAGCTGTAAACAGGAAAGAAAACAAGTTAAGGAAAGTTGAATCAGAGAAAGGGGGTTGCTGGCACTGACTTCTCTAGTAGGTGGCACTGAAGGAACTTGACTCCTTGGTTCATCAAACATTGCCTGGGCATTCCTACTATCACATGTTCCCTTCTCTTTCCCACCTGGGGAGACCAAGGCTAGTCATGGCCAGCTCACAGGTCCCTGAGACAAAGGGTCTTATTTTATTGTCTAAAGCCTAGCACCTAGAATTTTTCCTAGCTCAGGATTATTTCTGACTGAATGATCTATGAGTGTTGCCTTTCTAGGGTGAGGCATGAGCTTTTTTTCATAGTAATACCAAATAGAACTACAGGTCAAACTAATTATTAATTCCACATTTTTTGTGATATTCTGCTTAGTTAGAAACTAATGTTTATAATATGATGGGGCTTTTAAAAAACATTCTACCTCTGAAAAAAGACCGCATTAGATTTGAAACTGTGGTTGAATTTAGGAGGAAGATAATAGAACCTTCTGATATGTCTAAAATAAAAGAAATTTCCTCTTTCTCCATTAGGAACGCTAAGCAGCACAGCACTGTTTGACATTCTACAACTGTTAACTTGTATTTCACTTCTTTACTCCCTTTGTTATTTAGTATATTTGTTCATTGCCTTTTATGGGTTTTTTCCTTCTAAGAATTATAGATCTGTCATAGCATAATCATTAAAATTGCAATTTCATATTATTGATGATTTTATTCCCTGTTGAATAGAATCACTGTTTTCAGTACAATTCATGAACAGTAATACATAATAAGTTTTTATCAGATAAAATGGCATGGAATGTTTTAGGATTCTCTTTTCTGAAAGAAATTTAATGGAGAACAATTGTAAAAATATATATATTTTCTTTTTCTAGGATTTACTTACAAGACATAAATTGCTCAGTGCAGAATTTTTGGAACAGCATTATGATAGAGTAAGTATGTGAAATATTATTTTAAAAAAATTGAAACTTCTGTTAACAGCAGTGAAAGATTTAAATTGCATTTTGCCCCAGAACATTGATTTTGCATGCATAGTATATTTAATTGGTGCTATGCTCGTTTCTCTACTGAAACAGTGTAGAGTGTTACTATACTAGGTCAGAATCAGAACCTAATCCTTTTGGTTGACACACTGCCCTTTGCATCTTTTCTTAGTTTAGAAAAGGAAAATAGGCATTTTGCTGCTGAATGAAAGTACAGTTAAGTTAAAAGGAGAATTATTATCTGACTTTTAACTTTTCCTTCCTCTTCCATCAGTTGTTGTATATACATAGAGAGAAAGGGAGGCAGCAGCTGGTAGGATGAGAGCAGCGCTGGCCTAGGGGGCAGGACCCCGCTCTGCTCCTGCTTCATTGCTAACTACTTTGTGGCCATGGCCAAGGCACTTACTGCTTGGGGACTTAGAAGTCCTCCCTTATTTGTAAAATGAGGACATTGGACTAGCCCATCGGTAAGGTCCCTTCCAGCTCTGAGTCAATGTCAGAAGTCCCTGGTAATGGTGACCCCACCCACCCCCAAGAATTGTAAATGATCTGGGTGCTTTGTTGACTTGATTCCCTGTGATCCACACAGCCACCCCAGGACCACAGTGCTGCTTGTTCCCTTTCACTACACCAGTTCTGCTTCCTCTGAGCACTTCCCTCCATACCCCCAGCACTTTCTTACATTATAGTAGTTTAACTCCATGTTGTTTGTCTAAGATCTAATAGTTACTCTTAGAGAAATCAGAATATCAACAATTCACTTAAAATTCATATCTATCCCACAAGATTTGGCTTAGGCTTAATTATTCCACTAGTCTTGTGAATCTTTGAACTCATAGGTATTATTAACACTTTATTGTTCCTTTTGCTGGTCAACTACATAATAAGATTCTATGCTTCCTCAGTCTTTGTCTTCTCATTTTCCCCTACGACTCCCAGTAGCTCAAAACACCATGCTAAGTACATACTAAATCCTTCATAGACAGCCTCACACATGGCTTAAATACTGCCCATGGGTATTTGACATGGGTATGGTTTTTTTGGTATGTGGTTGACTTAAATTGGCAGCACTCTGATTTTCATCAGGGCCTTTTCCAGCAGTTGGAAACATGGGCTTTCGTATCAGACTACCCTAGGTCTGCCTTCAAGTGCCAGACCTGTGAGTGTGCTGATAGAACCTTAGGCAGTTGCCTTCATTTGCCTCAGGATCTTCGGCCCAAAAGACGTCCCTGTCTACTGGGGCGTGTGGGCATTAGACAAGGGTACAGACTGGAAGCACATAGTTTTTGGATGCTAAAGCCCCTGAGATAGTGCTAAAACACAGTAAACATTTAGTAAATGTTAGCAGCTTTATAATTGCCACATGGTCTCAAATTTTATTTTATTTTTGGTAGCAGGGATTGAACCTAGGGGCATTTTACCACGGAGCCGCATCTGCAGCATTTTTTACTCTAGCTGAGTTACTGAGGCTGGCCTCGAATTTATGATCCTCCTGCCTCAGTCTCCAGAGTTGTTGGGATTATAGGTGTGTACTTCCATACCTGGGTCTCAAACATCTTTTAACGTGCCAGAATATCTTAATTTAAATCCTACCAAAGATACAGACTAGCTAATTTCCAGGAAATTTACTATGAGCAGTAAAATCATTTTCTACATGTTATTAGTGAATGGCATCATTTAACATGATTTTATGTATGTGAGGAAACTAACAGAAATGTGTCCAGGGTAGTAAGATCTGAGGGAGAAAAAAGGTAGGAGATTTACGTAAGCTAAATAGGCCAGAGGTGAGGTTGTTACAGAAAAATTCATGCTCTTAAATTCTAAACCCTTTGGCTCTGAGTTTTCTAATAACCAAAGCATCATAATATTTATAAAGTAAACTATGTGCTGGTTGCTCAGAAGAAATGTATCCTTTCCAAGCACTGGAATCTGAAACAGACTTCTTCCACTCAACTTCTTAAAGGGGAGTCAGATCGCAGTGTCACACAGTGGGTAACAGTCATTGCAGGCCACACTGCAGCATATACAGTACTCAGCTAAAGTGCAGTTCCCTGAAAGCAAGTATTTGAGGGGGTCCACAGGTGGGTGGGGGCAAGTGCCTAGATTTGTTACCTGTCCTCTGGCTGTCCTGATCCCAGAGAAAATCGGACCTATCTGGAGGACCTACAAACATACTCCTCAAGTTGTTCCCCATGAAAGTGATTTCTTACAACCAAGCTTATCCATATACATGCAGCAGAAAATCTTAACTTGAATTTTCTGTCAAGAACTTAAGGTGGGGGCTGGGGCATGTGGCTCAAGCGGTAGCGCGCTCGCCTGGCATGCGTGCGGCCCGGGTTCGATCCTCAGCACCACATACAAACAAAGATGTTGTGTCAGCCGAGAACTAAAAAATAAATATTAAAAAAAAAAAAAAAAGAACTTAAGGTGTATGTATTTTTTGTTACTGATTAAAGGTGGACCTAGCTCTTTTAATCATTGCAACAGTTATTTGAAAAGAGCAGTTTTAACTTGCTTGCATATAAATTAGGGGACTGCCTCAAAAGCTAGCCCCAAGCCAGGAGTGCCAGAGAGTTAAATATTTGAGGTTTCATGGGCCCTGTGGCCTCTATCCACTCTCCTTTCTGTGATACCAGAAAAAGTACCATAAATAATTCATTAGTACAAAAATGAATTTATTTGTAATAAGCAAATGAGCATAGTAGCTAAGTTTCAGCAAATTCTGCAATGGGCTGGATTCAGCCTGTGGGCCTTAATTTGCCAACCCCCTCTCTAAACCCCAGATGAATGGCTAATGAGAACTCTTCCTAGGGCAAAGCACAGATGGACCAGTGACAAAGCAAGCATTATGTAGCAGCCACCACACCCAGTGAAAAGTCTCAGGAAAGCTCAAATACCCAACAGAGTCATACTGACTCTTCAAACTGGCAATATTTTAAACCTATCCGGAGTAAAGAAAAAAGAAAAAGAAAAGCAGAATGCATATATAGCCTTAAAGCTACCTGACCTTCTAAAAATACTAAATGTTTCAAGGACAGCCTTGGCCCCTTTGTCCTCTCCATTTTCTACTTCCCTGCTTTAGGGAAGTGACTCACAGCCCTTGCCATTCTAGTAACACTTCTTGTTAGTGCTGCCACTTTGATGATCTTGTGGCCTTTTGTCAGCTCTTAGATTTGTAGCATCCTGTCTTCTCCAGGTCCGCCCTCAAGCTGTGCCCTTATTTTTTTTTTTTTTTTAATTTTTTTTTTAATATTTATTTTTTTTTTTTTTTTAGTTTTTGGCGGACACAACAGCTTTGTTTGTATGTGGTACTGAGGATCGAACCCGGGCTGCACGCATGCCAGAAGAGCGTGCTACCATTTGAGCCACATCCCCAGCCCACATGCCCTTATTTTTTTATCCCCCAGGAATATGTTTCAAAATGAAATCTCTCCCCTCTTTCAGGCTTGAGCCTGACTCTCGCTTCTCTGTTTAGCACAGTACTGGGTTTCTTCTCATTTACCGTCTTAATTATTTTCTGGCCTCGCTTGATACATAAAACATGTAATTTCTCTTTGTTGTGCTTTAGATATATTGAGTTCTCATTTTTTTAAAAAGGGTTTTCTGGACTAATACCAAGAAATGACCACTGACTTAATCATGGGAAAACTGTGGGGCGGAGGGAGCATTGTTTTGTGCTCATGGTATTTGGGGTCGCCCAGAGGACTTGACTGAGCGGTGTCTGGGCCTGGCTGGAGCCTTGCAGGAGCCCTCTTCACACAGGTGATAAGCGGGCTTCAGAGGAAGGTGTGAAACCAGTGGCAGCACAAGAGCTTGGGCAACCACTGGCCTGTGTGGTGTCAAGAGTTTGCCCTCGAGCTTTATGTTTTCTGCCAGTCTTTTTCTTAAATAACCCTAATATGTGTTCTTGTCTCGTAGTTTTTCAGTGAATATGAGAAGCTACTTCATTCAGAAAATTATGTGACCAAGAGACAGTCACTGAAGGTATGACAGACTCATGACTTCGTGTCACTTGTTTCTCTTTTCTGTTTTCGAAGTTTGGATTTGGGGAAAGGGAGACATGTCTGGTGTGGGTTGTAGACTTCATGGGGACATACATTAGTCCACGGTCAGGATTTTTGCAGAAAGTAACAGAACGTGGCAGCGGTCCCTGAGATATACCTGCCTGCGCCCTCGTCAGCTAGAGACACCAAAAGGGAATGGACAAATTTTCAGAGGGCTTTGTCTCCTAGCAATGCAGTATTTAGGTTTTGAACCATATCTTTAAAACTTAGAATCGTGCCAACTAGGTGAAGGATTATAGATTCCCTGTGCCCTGAGCAGCTGCCCACAAGGCTGTGAGGGGAGGGGACAGTGGTGCAAGCTTGCCACAACTTTGATCAACACAGAATATGGGAAATTCTAGTTGAAACTAACTAAAAACTGTTAAATTTAAGATTTAAACTCTAGGTATAAGATATAGCTCAGTGGCAAAGCATCTGCCTTGCATTTGCAAAGTCCTGGGTTTGACCCCCAGTTCCAAAAAAAAAAAAAAAAAACACAAAAAAATAACTCCACCAATAATAAGAAGAAGAAGAAAAATAAGATTTAAACTCTAGAACAAAGGTTGGCAAAACTACAGTCCAGGGGTTGGGGTTGTGGCTTAGCCGTAGAGCGTTCGCCTAGTACATGTGAGGCACTGGGTTCAATCCTCAGCACCACATAAAAATAAACAAATAAAAAGCTACAGTCCATGGGCCAAATCTAGCCATAGCCAACTGCCTGGTTTTGTAAACAAAGTTTTATAGGAACACATGTGTTCATTTGTTTACATATTGTTAAGGCTGTTTCAGGCTACAACAGAGTTTTAAAATACTTGCCCCAGAGACCATATGATATGGCCTGCAAAGGTTAAAATATTAGTGTCTTGCCCTTTACAGAAAAAGTTTGCTGGCCCCTGTTCTAGAAAATTCTTAGGGCAGTTAATAAATGCATAACTACCACCATCATTCTGTCAGTAAATGGTCCTGGTGGGAAGTATAGATAGAATCACAAAGGATTAAGGGGGGAAATTTATAACTATTTACATGTTTTGCCAGGTTCATTTTAAATTAGACTCTACCCGCAGTTCCTCCCCCTCTGAGGTATCTGAATTCATATTCATCAAGACCCTGTTCCTTCTGCCCCTTCCAGCCATAGGGAGATCTCCCTTAAAGACCTTATTTTTCTGTAGAAAGACACTAATACTTTGTGTCCTTTGATAAGAATAGTCTGCCATGCAGATTTCCAATGGAGTCCTTTCCACCTGATGAGCAGCATCCTTCTTTTTTCTTAAGGCCATAACTCTGTAGTCAGGGATCAATAACAGCCCCATCTTGGAAATGTGTCAGTACTAAAATAGTCCAGGCACACCTAGTGCTTTCTGTCAGTTGCCATGGTGGGGGCCTAACCTCCTAGCCATCCTCTCAGCCTGAGGTTGGGGATCTTCAACCTATCCTAGTCCCCACCTCCATGATCATCTGGTAGTCTACTGACTGATAAGAACAACTTCTTCAGGGGGTTGTGGGGAATTTTGGCAGTTGGTGGAGGCACTTCCCCTCTCTGAATGTTAGCTTGGAGAGGTTCCTTCTCTGTGATCCTAGAAGAGCCAACACATTCTGCTCTCTCCCGTGGTTACACAGTTGCACAGCTCAAAGGAGTCAGAGGCCAGACAGGGTGACCTGGGACACCAGCTTCCAGGCCTGGTTCCTCTTCATTGGAGAAGGGGAGATGTATTGGCAAATCAATAACCTTTGAACAAATTTTGGGTTCTTGGACTTCTTGAATAAGAAGAAAGCCTTTAAAATATTTCTACCACCCCAAATTACTAACATGAAAAGGAAGCTTGAGACTGGCATTTGTTTTATGGGTTTTTCTGTTTGGGGTTTTGTAGGTATTTTTGTTGCTGATTTTCATTTTCTGTTTTTGCAGTACTGTAAGGAGACTGGCATTTGTAAGCCTTTATTGATGGATATGAATGAAGCAACTCATTCATTCTCACAGTTTATTTTAGTCATAGGCCAGATTGAAGACATCATGAACACATGCAACAGTTTTGAGACCAGTGGTACTTTTTTGAGGGGTCGGGGGTACCAGGGATTGAACTCAGGGGCACTCTACCACTGAGCCACATCCCCAGCCCTTATTTTGTATTAAGAGACAGGGTCTCACTGAGTTGCTTAGCACCCTGCTTCTGCTGAGGCTAGCTTTGAACTCGCAATTCTCCTGTCTTAGCCTCCCAAGCTGCTGGGATTATAGGCATGCGCCACTGCGCCAGGCCCCAGTGGTACTTTAAAGATGAAGTTTAATTGGTACTATCTTTTTTGCAGCCACGTTGGTATTTATTTATTCCTATATTTTGCCAGCAAATTTATATTTCTTGTGCAAGACTTCACATTTTTTTATTTAGTAATGGTGATTACAGAATGAGTTATTTTTAAAACTTTGGGTTTGGTTTAAAACTCAGTAATTTAAGAATAATTGTTTTAACATCTTCTCAGCTTCTCGGTGAACTACTGTTAGATCGACACAACTTCACAATTATGACAAAATACATCAGTAAACCTGAGAACCTCAAGTTAATGATGAACCTTCTACGAGACAAAAGTCGTAACATCCAGTTTGAGGCCTTTCATGTTTTCAAGGTAGAGTAAATAATATTTTTCTCCAGAATTGTTTATCTCTTTCCATTTACAAATTACTGAAGGTATTGTTAACTTCATTTTGGTAATAATATAATTCAATTTTCATATTTGTGTGGTACAAATTTAAACAGAAAGACCTAAAGTTGTTTTGGGGAACAAGAAAGTATATTTATAAAAGAGTATTATTATCTTTGGCATAGTAGATTATTCATTGCAGAGTAAAAGCATTTCTTAATGCTTTTCATGAAGGTTTTGACTTAAAATCTATCTAACCTCCTAGGCCCAGAAATGATATCTGCTCATTTTATTCTAATACCAGTCTGTATTTAGTACTAACCACTGTGTTTCAGGATAGGCAGAATGAGTTTGGCAATGCTATTTGTGCTATAACATGTAATTATTATTTTTCCCCATGTTATGAAAAATAAGCTCCTCTAAAGCAAAAACTATTCCCCTGGCTTCATTGCTTGCCCCAGGAGCACACCCAGACCCGTGTTCTTTCTCTGACTGACATGGGCTTCTCTCTCTGCAGGTGTTTGTGGCCAATCCTAACAAGACACAGCCCATCCTGGACATCCTTCTCAAGAACCAGACCAAACTTATCGAGTTCCTCAGCAAGTTTCAAAATGACAGGACCGAGGACGAGCAGTTCAACGATGAGAAGACCTATTTAGTTAAACAGATCAGGGATTTGAAGAGACCAGCTCAGCAAGAAGCCTAATTTCCAATAAACATCTAAAATATTAAATCCAAATTCAGCATTTGCTGTTAGCTATTCAGCATCAGGCACTCTTATCGATTCATGAGGAACATTACTGCTAATCTGCTGTTAAGTGAACGGTTTTTCATTTTACCTTTTTGTTTTTCAGTCCAGGTTGGAGAACGTAGCTGCTGCTGCTTGCACACTAGAGCGCACGTGGGCTTTTTCTTGATCTTTGTGTCATTTCAGAATTCAAAGACTGCGTTTGCTTGTAGGAGTTCTGAGCGTGGCTGAGTTTGTGGAGGCAAACGTATGGATGAGAGTGGTGTAGGGGAGAGGCCCTGATAGCACCCAGGCACACCCGTGTGTTTCCATTCCTCTTTGGGAAAGATCTGAGCGCAGTGTGGCGTGTGCACACATGGCATCCTTGCATCAGACTGTACACCTGCCTTCGCTGAAGAAAGAGCGTGCATGCAGAGCTTTGTTGGAAATCAGGGGAACTATATCCAAGATGTGAGCTTTTGGGGCGGATTAAGTTGACGTGCGAATAAATTGATACTGAAACTTAGCAACTTCTTAAAAAGTATGAAGCTTCATAAGGTCATAAGGAAAATGTATATAGGCTTTTCACAGCTTTGTAGAACTTTTTTGACATTTGATTTTCTTGAAACTTGTAAACCTGGATATGTTGAAGGGTATTTGTTAATTTTACTTTTTGAAGATATTTTAAAACAGTAGAGCTAGCAACAACAACACCACCTTGCATTTCATTTCAACACTGCTTACAGGTTTCTTTTGTATATAATTCTTAGAATGCTCATTTCTTTTAAATGGTTTAATTTGTACAGCAGAGGAATGTTATTGTAGTAGTATGTAACTATTACCTAATACTGAGTTTTTTGCAAAAAAAAAAATGAATGCTCATATGTAATTGAAATACTTCAGATCACATGAAAATGCTGATTTAACATTTAAGGATCACAGCATTAAAAGAAAAAAGTAAACCAATCCTTTGTATTCAGTTACCTAATGGGGTGCCATGATTTGCGGAACCACAAACCTGGAACTCAGTCCGCTACACTTTCCTGCATAATATTGGCCTTATTCATTAAAATGAGTCATAAGTTTGCCAGATATATGAATGATACAGATTATGCTAAATAAATGCTGATTCTTTGTGGGGGGCCTCTGTAGAGCACCCTTTCTTTCTTAGAGTAAGTAATCCAGTACAATAGTTGTGAAACTGAATAATTAAAACTTTGGCTTCTCTTAGGAAAAGAAAAGTTCCTAGCCATAGGTGTCCTACGGGGAAATTTATTTTTTTTAATGTCCTGTTCCTTAATGCTGCAAATTATCAGTATTTATAAAGTAACTGATTTTGCACCACTTTTTGTTACTGTGACCACAGCAGAACAATGTCTCCTAGACTCTGTGTAAAGTTATTAGAATGGTATCTGTTCATTTTAGTGATACGAAGATCACAACTAACAACTTATGAATCAGAGTTTGCCAGTTTGAATTCAGCATGGCTGTAGCTGATTAAGAAATTTATTATATGATTATTCTTTGCTAGCCTCTTACTAATTGAATTATTTATCAGCCAGTAAAATGAGCCTTCCAATTGATGTTTCAGCAGATTTTAAGATCTCCTCCAAAGGACACCAATTTGAAAAACCACTCCAGAAAATAGATCAGTTTTATTCTGTTTAATTTAAATGGCAGTCTACGGTAATTGGTTTTCCTGAGGCTGCTTTTACAAGAATCTGTGTGGAATAACTCATGTTCTCTACCAGAAGGAAGTAGGGAAAGCGTTCTGACCTCCTCAAAACAAAACCCCTGCCATGGAGGAGGCAGGCCCAGCCGCAGAAGAGCATTCTGGTTCTTGTGGTCAAGTGGCGCGTGTCAGCAGCCAGTGTGAATGCAGTCACCACACCAAGTGGAAGAAGCGTCTCCTTGCCAAGCTAGTTCTTAGAAGTCCAAACACAGAACAGCTTCCACTTGGGCAGGTCCGTGATTGTCGCTCTAGAGCCTTTCATGTGGAGGACAGGGTGCAGTGTGTCAAAATTTTTGTATGTTACTAATGCATTGGATGCTGGAGGTAGTTCAGACTTTCTGGTTTTTGTTTTTAAACAAAACATTGTAAAAATGTTCAAAGTTGAAAAGTTGCATTGAAGTTTCAATCATTTAATATATTACCAAATTATTATACTGGAAGTGGTTTGTTTTTGTGTTACAAAGGTTTAATTTTACTTAAGCAGTTACTTAATGTGATTTTTAACCCAATAAGAAAAAATGGAGATGTATACAGTTGTTAATGCCATGAAAGCATTTCCTTCCTCCTGAGGAAAAGTGAATTTCTTATCAGAATATCTGGCTGGCCCTGTAATTTAAATTAAAATAAAAATTTTGGAGAAACAACTTTGTCCCTCTTCGTACTATCTTTTGGACAGCTGCACTCGTGTCTTTGTAAACAGCCCCATCAGGACACAGGCACAAATTGTGTCACAAGCTGGAGAGCAAACAGTGAACACTCCTTTCTTTCTCTGTTCAAGATTTTATATACCAAAAGGGCGGTTTCTACTTCCCTGTCACATGCCTGCTATAGCACGCTGCTCGCTGTCGCCATCCTAGTGCCACAGCTGAGTGTCATGATGCCATTTTTCAGACCATAACATTGGGGAAGTGATCCTCTCTGGCTCTAAACCCTTTTCTTTGTAATACTCCCAAGATAGACCAGCCGCTTGGTAGGGTGTTCACAAGTTGCTGGAGGGAGGTGACAACCGGCAAAGAACTGGGAGCAAGGTACTCAGCTGAACTCCGGCATGGACTTCCAGGAAGCCACTAACCTTGGGCACACCCTGCCCTCTACTTTTAACCCTGATATTTAACAGGAAATGAGACCTCCATGCTCTGGCAGAAGGGCAAGGGATGTTCCCTTGTCCAAAGCCCCTCATCTGAATAACAGCTCCTTCCTGCTATCGTTTCTGCCAGGCAGTTTTTATCTACTTATATGTTGTGACTCCACATTGACCACTGCACCAGGGAGTTACAACCTGTGTCTGCTGCTTCTGAAGGTGACCACCCTCACAGCTAGAGTTGCACTGCAGTTCAGATCTCACTTCCTCCCAGTCACGAATTGGAATACCATCCTCCTCTGCAACTAAACCCCAAACCTCCAGCCCCAGGTTGCTCAGGGGCTATAGGATTCTTAACCTGCCATCCTAACACACCAGGACCAAACAAGATCACCAGGGTTGCAGTGCACCACACCAGGTTCATTCTGGAAGGAATCTGGAGCCACTCCCTGGCCATGAGAAATCCCGCAGGAGAATGTGCCAGAGAGATCCTCAAGCACTGCCTGGACCCTGTCTTCTCTGCTCCTGAACTTGCAGCATGTTGCATGTTCTTCCCAACCTTGCTATGTTCCTACCACATCTTCCAGAGCCTGATGTCCACTCAGGCCATCTGGTTCCAGCAGGCCAGGACAAGATAAGATGCTCCTACGTGGTGTTCTTGAGGCCCTTCTGCCTGCCAAAAAATAGACCTTGCCCAAAGACCTTAGGAGCAGTCTTGAGTACGTCCCGTTTGAGCTTCACCTCAAGTGACCATCAGCATCTGCTTACTAACATTTCACTTCCAGTCAACCTGCCTGCCTCCACCAAGCAGCTGAGGAAGTCTTGGGACTGTGAGCCTTGACCCTTCAGGGAGCCCGTCTCCCAGCATTGACCCCGACTGGTGGTTGCACAGGCCGCATCTCTTCAGTGCACGGTGTTTTCGCCTGCATGCACCATGGTGACCTCTGAGGCCTTGCCGGTGTCTGGTTCCTCATGCAGCCGTCCTCACTGGGCCTGAAGGTTGAGCACACGTTGCACCTGAGGGCATGTCCCGTGGGAAGAAAATCCAAGGATGGTGATCAGCAGGTTTCTGTGCAAGAGATGGATGCCTCTGGGATCCATTAAGTAGTCTTTCTGCAATTTGTTAATTTCTTTTTTTTTATTCATTTTTTTTTTTAGTTGTTGATGGACCTTTATTTTATTCATTTATTTATATGCAGTGCTGAGAATCGAACCCAGCACCTCACACGCTGGGCAAGTGCTCTACCACCCAGCCCCAGCCCATTAATTTCTTTTCTAGGTAGCACTTCCATAAGACAGACTCCGGTGATTTCTAGGGAAGATGCCTAATTTTCAACATTTTCCACAAGGTCAAAAGGTTTTACAGCTGTTGCAGCTCAACAGAACCCCTGTTCCTGGGTAATAAATTGTTACCACTTTAATCTTGGTCCATGGAACTGACACAGGCTGGCTTTAGTTGGCTGGGCCTTGTGTTTGGTTGAGAGGCCATAGTGAGCAGCGGCCTCAGGAGGAGCAGGCCAGCCTCCCCAGGCTGCACCCTAGTGGTTTCCTCTCCACGTGGGCTGGGACTGAAGGCATGTGGTCCCCTGAATTGCCCAGTCCCTGGGAACAAAGGTACCCTTCCCAGAAACACTGCTTACAGATGTTCACCACAGGCCACTAGGCCTTTCTTACGAGGTCCTCCCCGCGTGGAGAAACAGGTGGGGAGAGTCAGGCCCCCAACTCGAGTGGCTCCTCCCATATGTGGTGGAATCTGTGTGGCCCTGGGCTTCCCAGTTACCCAGGCAGGCAGGTCAGGTGCCAACCTCCATCACCCAAGCATGCCAACAGGGCTGGCAGTGCCTACGCTGTCCTTTGTGGCCCACTGCCGAGTGTGAACTCCTGTACCCACCTGGGTGCCTCCCCTGGAGCCACAGGCAGAAGCAGTCCTCAGCCAACAGTGACACAGTGGCTGCTGGGCAAGGACAGGTGCTCGCCTCCTCCTGGTCTGAAGCAGGACTGAGCCCCAATGCCCCCCTCCTTGGCCAGCAGCTCCACAGAGGGCTTCCATGGGTTCTGAGCTCTCCCTGGCTCACACCCTGCTCTGGACCAGTGTTTCCTGGGATCGAGGCCCCAGGATATGCTTGTTCCTTCTGCTGAGTCGGAGGTGTGGATGGCCCACCTGAGGTCAGCCCTGTGGGGGCCCTTCCTCCTGGGAGAGGAAGTCAGTGTGGCCAAATGGGGTTGCCAGACCTCCTGAAGCCTCCTCCTGGTCCCTCTCGGTGCGAAACTTAGGACTGTGACCACCGTGGATACATGAAAGCCTGCCCCCAGATAGTGAGTGGCAGGGCTCATCAGGCTGCCCTGCTGCCCAGGGAGCTTCCATCATCTTTCAAAACCAGCTGTGGGGCGGGGGATGTGCCCACAGCTCTTTGTTCATCGTCAGCCAACATGCCAGCGAAACTGAGGGATTCTCATCTGCCCCTTCCAAAAGGGACTTTATTGAAAGGTATGGAGTCCTAGAAAACCATGGTGCAGTTGGGCCGCAGGGCCCTGGGTCTCTGTGGAGTCAGCCTCTCCATGGTGTCCCTGCTGCTAGGACAGCCCACAGGTCCCCCGGCTTCTGCGGTCGTTCTCTGAGAAGCCCACTGGGTGGCAGTGGAGCCCCGTGTTTAGAAGCAGCTGGGCCTTCTAGGGCCAACCCAGTGTGACAAAGAAGGACAGAGGCGTCACTCACACACCAGGCTGCCCTGAGCTTCCTGGGGACTGTTTTCATCCACAAGGAGGGAGTGGCCAAGGGGATAGAAAGAGGGATGTGAGACACAATGTGAAGGGTAAAATTTAGGTGATGGGTATACAACTGTTTGATTTGTTAAATTTTATGTTTTAGAAGAATTTTCGATTTCCAGGTGGGAAAAAATGCATATGTAGTAGAGTCCCCAAAAGACACCACACCCAGCTTTCCCCATAACACCTTAGTCACCCGCCATCACTGCAGTTCCTTACAGAGTCTCCCCCCCCCCGGAGGTCTGCCTGCTGTTTTCCCAGGGGTTAGAATGAGGTGGTGAGGGAGGACACATCCTGTTACCCCAGCCTGTCGAAGGCACCTGTACCAACAGGACTTCCCTGCTGACACTGACTGTGACCCAGGGAGGTTCTCCAGTTGTCTCCACTCTCAGGTTGCTCTTCATTTTTGCCCTCTGTCAACTCTGCCTTCTTAGGAAGGAAGTCACCGTGCCCAGCCCACACCTGAGGAGCAAGGGGCCAGGAGGATGGAATTCCTACATCCTTTCTGTCTCTGTTGGACTTTTGTCCCTTCTCCCCATTATATGGCTTCTCCCTATAACATTCTTTCCATTTCTGTGTGCTCACAACGAAGTGGTGGAAATTAAAAAGTGATAAACGGCCAGGGAGCAGGACGAGCAGCCAGAACAGGATGCAGGATATGATGAAAAAGACCAGGTAGGACACAGCATCCACCTCCCAACCAGCAACCGCAGCACAAAACAGCCCGATGGAGGCCACCCACCAGGGACCCCAAGCTCAGGGCACCAGGGTCCCCTGGTGTCTTAAGCCAGCAATGTGGGGATCATCCTTGGTTCCTCGCCTGGCCTCTTGCCCGTCCCGTCAACAGTGGACGTGTCCTGCCATAAAGCGTGTAGTTTCAAAAGTTGCAAGTCAAACATCCTCCAAACTATCAGACAAGCCCCCTAAACGGGTAGGAAAGTTCTTTTCCCTTCTTAGGAAACAAACTTGGAGGTTCCATCTTATGATGAAGCAGCTTTATAGCTGCTGAGTGACAGCTAGCTCTGGCTAACCTTGCCCATTTAATCTGGGAAACCCACCCATGCCTTCTACAGCAGCCACGAAAGCAGATCCCTGTTCCTTCAAGTTCTCCAACAATTTCTCATTAGCACTTTCTGAGCGATTATTAGGTGCTTCATAAGGGATAACCTACTCAATCCTCATAACCCTCAGATGGAGAGGTCCTCTATTATCCTGATTGTACAGAGAGGTTAAGTCACTCAGCTCAAGGCCAAACAGTAACGGGAAGCAAAGAAGTGGTCATGGCAGGCAGCATCTCTAATCCAGCATGCTGTACCTTTCCCCCAAGTGCCCGCCTTCCTTCAGAATTGTCAAAAGCAGGTAATCAAAGTCCAACAGGTAATCAAAGTGAACAGAGGGGCCTTGGCCCGAGGCAACGATGAGAACAGGGCTCTCCTGCTATGCAGTTCCCTGGCTCCCCCGGGGATCCGGAGGTGCCATGTGCATTCAGTGCCTGAGCAGGCGCCCCGACTCGGCCTCCCTAGCGCTCTCACACAGCCCGTGTTGCTGGCCAAGCCCCGCACCTGCAGGAGTGGTAGCAGGAGACCTGCGGCCATGGGGGCTAAGAATGACCAGGTTGCCCAGCTCCTTGGGTGGGCGGCAGACACAGCTGCAAGCCCAGGACAGGCGGTACAGGTGAGTAAGGAGAGCAGCCCAGGTGGAGCTGGCCTCTCCAGGAAGAGGGCCAGTCGAGGCCTGGGCATCACTAGGTGCCAGGACTCCATTTGCTGAGTCCACCAAGATGACCATAGCCACCGG